CAACCCCTCCATCTGTCGAGCCAGCAAGTGGAGACTCAAGCTTGTGAAGCCTAAAAATGTTAGCAGCTAAATTTTATAGAGACCGCCAGGAATCGTAATTTGCCGTGCCGTGCCGCCGCGGCACCGTCTGGCGATGGATGCGGGGAGAATGGGCTGTGCCCCAGTTCTTGATTGGAGCCGGGATGTCGGGATGGCTGCATATTTTTTTATACCTTCCATATATCCACACATATTTCACTGGTTTTTGGCAGATTCCTAGACCGTAGATTGAGGGGCAGAAAATTAAAAGCACGAAGACCTTAATATAGAATCGTCAACGGCTGGTGCTCTTCAGTAACATCCTTCCCTGTCCCCTTAACACTCGAGTTCGAATAGCTGAGCGGGAGAACCCTTTTCTCGTCGCGCGGCGTTGCCGGCCAGCAAATTACGATTCTTTTGTCATATGCCCGTTACATAAGACATCACTCGTGTCATGCTCTGGAAGCAAGGAATGACAACCAGTACTCTCAGGTTGTTGCTCTCTGAGCGACCACAGCGATGCTGGAACCTGGCCTGTATCTCCCACATGCCCAGCTGGTGAGAAAGGTCCACCAGGAGAGAAAGGGTGAGTTACTAGGAAATTCAAAGCATCATGACTTGTCGATCGGCACGAGAGGGCTTCGTAAGCTTTACTCCTCTTTGAAGTGTCCCACCTTCTGAGATAGTAATGAAAGGGGGCACGGCAACAAAGTTGGCGTGATAGCACTGAGGCTCTGACCACAGGTTTACAGCGGACTGTACCTTTGGCCGTGCAAAGCACTGCAAATAAGGTACTACTGCCGCTAACTGAGGTGAGGGAGTCTAAATAATGCGCCTGAAATAAGTGAATTTCAGAAGTCCTGGACAACCTGGAATGCCTGGAACGGCTGGCTACGATGGTGAACCGGCCCCGAATATCAGAAGAACATACACCACATCAGCCCAATTAGCAGAAAGCCTCTGTACTCCATGTCCTGCGGGCCCACCTGGTCAGCAAGGGCCGAAAGGAGCGACGGGATATCCCGGCTACAGAGGCGTGCGGGGGCCGCCAGGAGCGCCCGGTTTGCACGGGCGGCCTGGACCTATTGGTCCAGTGGGAGATGTTGGTGCAAGAGGACGTCAGGGCCATAAAGGATTCAAAGGAGCCAGGTTTCGTCTTGATCGTTTCGATATAAGTTTGCAGTGAGTTCCATTTACGTGCTTCGTTTTCAGGGGCTCTTTCGGAATAACCAGCACCAAAGGGAAAGCAGGGCCTCCCGGACCGCCGGGATCCATGGGAGGTAAGAACTTTTTCAGCGACTCATTCACTCTAGCACCTAATGTCTTTCACTCAAGTGATGACGATATGTTTAACTATTAAAAGTGATTGCAGTGCCCGGTCCGCGTGGCATCGGTGGCCCTCCGGGTGATTATGGAGCACCAGGGAGGCAAGGACCAGTCGGCCCAACTGGAGTACCGGTATGCTTATTTTATTTTTTGGCTGCGTCTTTGCGGCAGCGTCCACCAGTGTTCCGAGCGTCCGAAATCGATCTAGCGTCTGCCAGGTCTGCTAAGGGTCCACGAGCGTCTGCCAGCGTCCTCCAGCGACCAGCAGCGTCTCGAGGGCTAGGGAAGTATAGGTATCGGTCTAGCGTCTGCCAGCGTCTACTAGCGTGCACAAGCGACCAGCAGCAGACAGCTGGTAGAGAGGATGGGGTGAGAAGGTACCAATTGTCTGCTACCCTCCTATCGCCCCATACTCTACCAGCTGTCTGCTACCCTCCTATCAGCCCATACTATCCACTCCTGGACGCTGGTCGCAGGGAACGGTAGATCGATATCTATACTTTACTAGTCGCTGACGCCCGGAGGCTCGGAACGCTGGTACACGCTATCGGTCGGTGGTGGACGCCGCCGCAAAGTATGAACGCAGCCTTACTGATCATGGATCTGAGCGCTTGCATGAAATCTGTTCTACGATAGCTACTATGAAATGATTGGAAAAAGATATTCGCTACTATTGAAGGATTCGGAAGTCGGAGACGAAAAATATAGCAATACCCGCCATACCGAGTGGATTGTCCAGCTCCTTCGTTTGTTATGATTGTGAAGAAAACGCTATTCGCATTCTTTCCTGTCAAACGTGAAATGCCAGTCTTTCGTTCTATTTGCCTATACTCTAGACTGTACTCCAACTGATAAGTAGAAGGCACTCTGGTGTGAAAGAATGCTAAATAGGGAATTTGACTACGTGTGTTCCATATACACTCCTTATCCCTCAAATGAAGGAGGCGTGGCATGAGACAACTGTCGCCTTGTTCTGTGTTGGGCAGAAACATAACCACGATTGTGGGCCATATTTGAATAATCTTCCAACAATCACTAGCCATCGTTCGATACGTTTAGTAATCCAGCCATATTATCTTGCATTTTTCTCAGTGGATTTAAGTGTATGTGGCGTCCGAAGCGGGAAAGTGGTCTAGTATGTTTGGGATGGCTTCAGTCTCCTCCTTCTCCTTTGCTCTTCTCTTTCGTTCCTACGTTATCCTGAGACCCGCCCTCACACCGGATGCTCTTATTTGGTGCCTCCAGGTGGTGTTAGCAGCAGGGACTGTATGATAGTGTCGCTGAAAGTTGCGAAGTGATTGGAATTCGACAGAATTAAGCTCGTAGATATCTATCGATTTGAAGAAAGTGAAAGAATGCCTGGAAGTGCGGAATAGTCGGATATCTGAGAAATGTTCCGAAAGTGAAGAAAGGAAGACGATATGTATCGATTGTGAAGAAATTTGCGTGAATAGTGCGGGAAAGGTGCGAAAGTGCGGAATCGGCGCCAGGATAAAGTGCGGAGAGTGTGGAACTAGTGCGGTAATCCTTGCAGATAAGTGGAAAGATATAAGCATATAGATCCGTGTAACGATTTGAAGAAAGACTACGTCTAACTTTCTGCAGATTCCGAACTTGTCGCACCTTCCCCACTTTCCGCCTTTCCGGCAATTTGCTTCAAATACATGATCTATCTTGCTTTTCTCACATCGCATTCTGCAGATTCGCGCGACACTTTCCGCACTTTGGCACTTCTTCACTTTCTTCATTGGTCGCAAGCATGACGTCGGTCTTAGGAAGGGCTTCCTATTCGCTATCAGGAACATCTTAAACAGTCCACATTAATGGAATGTTTAAGATGTTCCCGAGTCTTTCTAGCGCTGTCTGCAGCCCGCTCGATGCAATCTTCGATACCCGTTAGCTTCCCCAACATTCGCTGTATCTACAACATCTTGCAAAACGATCGCCTCTATTCGCATTCGTTTAGGGACCGCGTGGCGCTGATGGTCTTGACGGGAACACAGGCAGAGAGGGTCTCAAAGGAGTGACTGGACCGCATTGTCCTTGTACAACAGAACGAAAGCTTTACGATTCAATTCGAACTACAGAGCAATATCCCTCCACCGCTATGGCAGGAGCTGCGCCTGCCTTTAGCCCTCGGCCGGACGACATGGTGAGCATCAAAATCTGATATGCAAACAGATTTCTCCAAAGTTTCATATTTCCAGAGCCTCACGGAGGAGCCTCATATGGAAACCGTCACTCCACCGAGAATAGAATACAGGAAGCGTTCCGCACCTCCGAAAAGGTCTCTAGAGATCAGCACTGTATGTTGTACTCTAACTAATCAAGAAGTGATGAGTTCAGTGATCAATCAACGCGCAGGAATGTACGGAGTCTCCTACATCAGAAGTCAAGGAAGCAAGCGGTGACACAATGGATTGACGGAATAATCGATTTCGATCCTTATCGAGAAGGATTAGTGTTCGCAATATAAAATATTGTTATTTCGTTTTATAATCTTTGAGCTATACGTTAATAACAGTCGAAATATCAACTAAAACTTGCTTTTTTTCCTCTACGTTTTACTCTCTTTTGGTTGAGTTGAGGTGCGATACAATAGTAATAAATGATATCCTTGGAGCTCACTTCTTAATCATTAGTTCGTAACTTATCTCCAAGAAGCACAACCCAGCTGTCATCCCCAACGCAACAATTCGTCCGAATCAGTTGTATCTCAGACATATCAATGTGTCCTCTGAATTTGTTGATGTATCTGAGACAGTAATAATCTACCTAAATCCCGCAATCAAATGTGACGAGTTGCTCGCGGTTATGCAGCGAGCGACGTATGAGCGAGGCAACCACGCTGGAAACAACGAGCTTCGCTAGGCTATTTGCAAAACTTCGCTCGGCGGTCGGTATCGATCTCGACACCATGCAAGTGGTAGCGCGCATAATTGTCGCTACGCTATCACTACCTGACTCCGCGGCGGTCCGTGGCAACAAGCAATGAACTGAACATGGCAAACAGTTATGGACTTTTCTTTTTCGAACTACTTAAAAATTTGTTTGAAGTGGCTCTTTTTGTAACTTTTGCACGAAGACCTCTACCGAATGGTCCCTATTCCATGCTCCGCCCACTTCTAGAATATCCATAGATATCACATGTTCATTTGTGGCCCGTTTCGCCACAATCCGCGAGCTCCCCATGTTGAACACCGAAAACAGCCCGTACATTGTACGAGCAGGCATTGTCGACGCTGGCAAGGCATTAGTTTAATTACCCAAGTTTGGGGTACTCTAAAATTTTACAATCGCCTCCCCCCCTCCCCAACCATTCCGCTCACCAGCCACTTCGATTGAGCCACGGTCGCTTCATAAAAATGGACGTGCTCTTTCTTTTTTAGTTGAATAATCCTACTTCGATTACTTACGCTTTCTGAAACCGCAGCATGAGTTAATCAGATGTAATCGTTCGTCTCGTAAAGGTGGGGATGTAGCCATCTTCATCGAGCAAACCTTATTTCCTAACATCGTTTTCCGCGAAAGTCACCATAAAGCGTATGAAATCTTGTTCATTGATAGTAGTTGTTTCTTCTTGAACTGTACACGAGGTTATCAACGATCTTTATTAGTGGCTGACGTTTCGGTGAGTTCACCTTCTTCGGAGCCTGAAAGGGTGGAAGTCAATTTATGATCTATTCGACCAAATGCCTTACTACCCCACAGAGACCTTCGACCCCATCCTAGCCATCACGCAACCAATCAGGAAGAGGATTACCGTACCTGCCAGATCCACTAGGCCAGCTGCGAGAAGCACAGTCCAGGGAGCTCTCGAACCGATCGCATTCAGGGGCCCGTAGGGAACGCAAGCCTTATATACGGGGTTAACTCCCGCGTAATTGATAGACATTCTCCCCTCCGGTTCATTTTGGGGTCAGTGACCTGGATCCAAAATGCCTCGAGGGTTTTGCGTGCGGCAGTTTGAATTTCTTGCTCCAGGACCTCGACCGTGACCCCGAAGTCGACCCCGCCATGGCATTTACCGGCCGTGGCAACCCAGCGCAGTGGACACCCGTGACCTAGTTTAAAACTAGGCCATGGGTGTCCACTGCCGCTGGATAGCTCAAAGATTATAAAACGAAATAACAATATTTTATATTGCGAACACTAATCCTTCTCGATAAGGATCGAAATCGATTATTCCGTCAATCCATTGTGTCACCGCTTGCTTCCTTGACTTCTGATGTAGGAGACTCCGTACATTCCTGCGCGTTGATTGATCACTGAACTCATCACTTCTTGATTAGTTAGAGTACAACATACAGTGCTGATCTCTAGAGACCTTTTCGGATACGCAGGACGGGAACACTTTTGGTGGGTGACAGGAGGTGATAACACCTGATAAGATTCGATAAGGGGCCTTAGAAGGGGAGGGTGACCGAAATCGTAGCGCAAGTTGCAGCAGCTGCGGGACCTTGATTTCAAGGAAGTGATATACATGGCAGGACGGGAACACTTTTGGTGGGTGACAGGAGGTGATAACACCTGATAAGATTCGATAAGGGGCCTTAGAAGGGAAGGGTGACCGAATTCGTGGCAGACATACACGGTAGGGTGGTGACTGACAGGAGCTGATAACATCTGATAAGATCCGATAAGGGACCCTAGACGCGGGTGTCACCAAATTCTTAGCGCAGGTTGCAGCGACCGTGGGACCTTGATTTCAAGATGTGGTATAGGGTAAGGGAAGTGGACATGATTGGTGTGTGACAGAAGCTGATAACATCTGATAAGATTCGATAAGGGGCCTTAGATGCGGAGGGTCACCAACTTTGTAGGGCAGGTTGCAGGGTCTGTGGGACCTTGGTTCAAAGAAGTGGTATAGGGGGAGGAGGGCGGGAACCCACTGACGGGTGACACTAAGTGACAGCAACTGATAAGGGTTGAAAGCGTCATCATGCGGGAATCCGCAACACCGCTTACTGCCACAATGCGATTGATATGACAGGTATCAGGCTCTCAGTAGTTCGTACACAACTCACTCCTATGCTCTTACCGCTATCGACATCATGTACGGCCGCTAAAGCAACTGGAGTTCAGATGCATGACGGTTGTTTACTCAGTTGCCATGAACTGCAGCAACTAACTTTATCACTATGACCATGATTATCTTCCATCAACAACCCGAGAGAGGACCATTCGAAGCGCAAGACTGCCGAATGCGGGAGTGCATTCCAGAAAAAACCCTACAGTGGTGGGAGATTGCATTGAGCGGTAGGATGCTTCGAAGGCTGCTCTTACAGGTTACTGAATTTTCGTGTGAGGGTTATGGAGATTTTTGGTACTAACCCCGAGAAAAGAATGGACAAAAGGATAGATTTCAGCGTTACA